CTAGGTCTTTATGATTCCAAAAAGAAAAGAAATGTGGGTATTATAAGAGAAGCATTAGATCTCAGGATAAGTAACAGATTGTCACCTTAGGGTACCTTCTCTTGCATATCCACCTCTGTAGGGATTTAATTCTCTGCTCTCAGTAACTTACTAAAATTTCATTTGGCTACCATAGGGTGGTGGCTGTTTGCCCTAATCACAAGCTTCAAAACTAAGCTTCAACACCCCCCTTTTTTCACAATAGTGAATTCATTCCAATCCCCAAAGCACTGATTAATCAACTTAACATAATAATAATTAGGCAAGGTACCAGGCTAGGTCGTTTTTTTTTCCAAAACCACCCCACTCTACCAACCAGCACTCATAATAGTTAATTTCTTGAGTCCATTATAAAATGTGTCCAAAGGATGCTATATTCTAGGAGAACTGTTCTTAACCTCTTTGTGTCATGGACCCCATTGGAAGTCTGGGGAAGCCTATGAACTTCTAAGAATAATTTTTTTAAGGTATAAAATATAACCCATAAGATGAAAAAAGAAATCAATTATATTAAAATACAATTATAAAAATAATTGTAAACAAGTTTACAAACCCCCAGGTTAAGAACCGTTGGTCTAGGGGGAATGTTCCTTTTTCCTAATTAAAATCCACCTTCTACAAGAAGCCTTTCCTGATCTCTCTTAATGCTAATGCTTTCCCTCTTTTGATTATGTCCAATGTCTCCTATGTCTGTTGGTACATAGCTGTTTACATGTTTCCTCCATCAGAAAGTGAGGTCCTTAAGAGCAGTGATTGTCTTTTGCTTTTTAAGTCTAGTGCTTATCACAGTACTTTACATGTGGGCACTTAATAAATGTCTGATAAATGCAAAAAAAACCAAATTTTTTTTTCTCATCAGGTGAGTTACAATGGTCAGTACTATAAGGTATAATTTTCCCTAAATTTCAAATCAGCTGATAGCTTAATTGCTAATTTCTTGATAGTAAAAATCCTTACTTTTTTCAGTATTTCTCTTTCAGCCCTCCTTCCTCTAGTGATTACCAAGGGTGGGGAACTCTCTAGGTCCTCTGGTGTGGAGGGCTGCTCCTCAGGTCCTAGAAGGTCACCACCCCTGGTAAGTCTATTCATCTTCCATTATCTAATCTTCTGAGAAACCAGCAGAAAGGAGGAAGGAAGAAAGGACAATGTGGCCCAACCCAACTCAGCATCTCTTCCCATCCTAGAGGGCCCAATACCTTGCCTATTTCTCACCAATTATAGCAGGTTTTTCTGTACTTAACTCCCTAGGAGAGAAGTGGAACATCCTACACTTCTTTTCTCTTTGCAGCAGGAAACCTGCTGATTTAATTTTACACACAATGCTAATTTAGATAATTACAGTCTCTTCCCTGGCTCCCCCTTAGCAACAGGCTTCTCCTGCTTTGAATAGGTTATAGTTAGAAATCTTTCTTAAAGATACAAAAACACTTTTTTTTTCAGGGCAGAAAATTAAACATAATATGAATAGGATTTTATTGAGTTTAATCAAAAGGAGCCACTAAGGTGTAATTCACGGCTCCAGTATTTTAAATGGTACCACAACAGTCTGGAAGCAGGTAAAAATGGGACCAGTGTTTTTGACCTAAAAGAAATTAGGACATACCCTAAAGGAAATTGCTCACCAAGCCTAAAATGGAATCCCCTGTTTCTTTGTTTAGCATTATTTACATTGATTTTCATCGGGAAATATCTGTGTGAGTTAAATGAAGGGGGAATAATGTCACATATCCCTATTATCCACCCTGTGCACCTTACCTAGTAATTCGGAAATCTGTATTTTAAATTAAATGATGTGGAACTACTTGTAGCATCAAAGGACTTCGACTAGAAGGCACTCTAGAAATCATTCAGCCCAACCTCCTTATTTTACAGATGAGGGAACTGGGGCCCAGGGCGATTAAATGGTTTCCCCCAAAACCACATGGAGAAGTGGCAGATTCATACTCAGGTCCTCTGACTCCAAGTCAGATGCTCTCTATCTATCCTCATAAGATTAAAGTGAGAGCCAGATCAAGTGACTGTTAGTGTGGAACTCCTATTTTCAGCTAAGATTTGGAAATGAGTAGAAGTGTTTAGAGCAAGAGTGTTCGCAGTGAGTATATGTTTGTATTGGTTTGGTAAGGTAGATTAGTGAGATAGACCTTTATGAAAAGGGCAGCTGGATGGTAGAGTAGATAGGGGGTGGGGCTTGTAAGCAAGAGTCAACTTCCTGAGTTCAAATCTGACCTCAGACACGTTATTAGCTGTGTGACCTTGGGCAAGTCATTTAACCCTGCTGGCCTCAGTTTCCTCATCTGTCAAATGAGCTGGAGAAGGAAATGGCAAACCACTCCAGTATCTTTGCCAAGAAGACCCCACATAGGTTATGAAAAGTTGGACATGACTGAAAACAACTGAACTACAAAACCTTGATGAAAGTGGAATCAACTGACTGCAGGGGTAGGGATATTATGATATCACAGCTTTTCTGTTTATCTCATTGCCTTGTATAGTCATGATAATGTGCTCATGAGGCTAGGAAATGTGATCTACAAAGTATATCCTGGTAATGGAATAAAGTGGGACGAAGGTTGCAATATTATAAATTTAGAGTTGGAGAGGACATTATAGATAATATACCCAAGGGTCCTTGACCAATTTTTTTGTGCATTAACCCCTTTGGGTTAACTAAGTCCCAAGGGGGTTTTATAATGTTTTAAATGTATAAAACACATAGGAGTACAAAGGAAACCAGTCGTATTGAAATACAATTATCATTTTTTTAAAATAACAGGTTAAGGTTAAAAACCTCTGAGTCTAATCTCCTAATTGTACATGAGGAAACTTTAAGCTCTGGGATTTTAAGTGACTTGGCTGAGGTAATATTACTAGTAGGATCCCAAAACTATGGGGATGAATTCCCAAACTCTGATTTAAAGTCTATTGTTCTTTTCACTGTATTATGCTGCCTTTTGGCATCTGTTTCAGCACAAAGATAGCTCTATAAATTAAATTATGGACTAAGTGCTCTACCTGCATTTCAGAAAGAAAACAAATGCATTTTTCATCAATATTTCCCATAGAAACTATTGTGATGGAAACCATTTTACCTTGGAGCCATCTAACCTGTCAATATTTTTCTCCTTCTGTTTTGAAATCTTCTTGAATTCTCCTCATATTTTGTGTCTTTTTTTGTATTACATGCTAGAACATGTAATATTGTATGATATATTTTACACATACCCTTTTCCTCCCACTAAAACGATATAAGCAATTACAAAAAAGCCTAATGTATTACCAATTAGCAAGAAGAACCTCAAATACATCATATGATGTGACTGGCTGAGAGTCCCGGGAATAACAGTAATAATATAGCCAGGCTCTCATTTTATTTCAGATTGGGGAACGTCCTCTGCCTCTACCAGTCCATCAACTTATATCCTAGAGACTTGCCCAGAGCCACATAACCAGTGTGTATTACAAGGCAGAAATTGAACCCAGACCTTCCTGTCTCTGGTGAAGGCTCTTTATGCACTGTCCGTGTTTTTTTAAAAAATGCTCATTTCAGAATAGGCATACTTGAGACCAGCAAAACTATGCTACTGAGAACACCTTAGCTTTATTTTCTTTTTCCTGGCTGGTAGTAATGCTATTGCAAATGTTACTAGAACATATTGCTTTGTCCCTTCTAATATTAGTGATATAGGCTTCAGCCTATATTAAGAAATGGAAATGGATTACATTTCAATTGTGCAATTTGGAAAATCTAAATTTGGTTCCCAGGTCATTTTACCTCAGCCTTTTCTGTCATATCAGGCCAATATATTGACTTTATAGGTCTTAAAGTTAATAGCACATGAAGTGGTATAACTTTTTTTTAAACTGAGAATGAATTTCTGCCTCCCCAACAAATTTTTGTTTTGTGAATTAGAACTTGGCTTCTGTTGTTGCTTTTGTTTTGAAGGATATAACTTAACTGAAATTTCATGGAATGAATTCAGATTTCAAAGTTCTCAGTGGATAGAGCACTGGCCCTGGAGTCCGGAGGATCTGAGTTCAAATGTGACCTCAGCAACATAACACTTACTGGCTGTGTGACTGTGGGCAAGTCACTTAACCCCAATTGCTTCACCAAAAAAAAAAAATTAAAAGTTCTTTTTCTTTTAAGTGTCTCCTGACTCTTTCCAAGTAGTCTCATGTTTAATTGATATAACGATTCATTTACCTGAGTATGCCTGGAAAGTACCAATGATGCTTATTTAACTTGATGGCTTTTAACAGAAGGCAATTTTAATATGAATGACTTGATTCTGGCATTCTTGCTGTCTTTAGAAACCAGGTAAACTTGTACTATTAACTGGTCTGCAGGGGTGGTTGTTGAGAATTGGGTTCAGGGATTGAAAGTTTAATGGCAGTCTAACAGTAAGAGAGGGAGCTAGGGGGTGATGCAGTGGATAGTGGATAGAGCACTGCCCTGGAGTCAGGAAGACTCCTCCTCCTGAGTTCAAATCTGGCCTCAGAAATTTACTAGCTGTGTGACCCTGGGTAAATCCCTTAATCCTGTTTGCTTCTGTTTCCTATTCTGTAAAATGATCTGGAGATGGAAATGGCAAACCACTCCAGTATCTTTGCCAAGAACACCCCAAACAGGATCACAAAGAGTTGGACGTGACTCAAAAAATACCACCACCCCCACAAAATCAAACCAAAAAAAGCCCTCACTAACAACAATGGCTGTAAGAAACAAGTCCATGAAGTTCCATGTGTAGTTGGGAGAATATTTTCACTCTTTTGAGGGAATTTTAAATTGTGTGTCAATGTGTATTATGTCATTTTTTGGAGGAGAAGGGGAAGTGCTGGGCTCAAATTGAACTTCTTGAAGACAATGAGAAAGTCCACCCATGAGGTAGGTTAGGCTGATTTTCCTCCTTTAAACAATCCCACTGAAGTTGCCTTTAAGAACTATTACATTGACAGAAGAATTTGTTTTAACTTTTTATTAGAGAAGTCCAAAGTTTAATTTCAAGATTGATGGCAGCATAATTTTATCTTGCCATCTGTTTTGTTCATAGGAATACACAGAATCAGTTTGTACAAGCATATGCAACAATTCAGTAGGTGCTTCGTGTACTAAAATCAGTAATCTGATTAGTTCTAAACTATCAAGTTTCCATGCAGTCTCCTTTGCAGTGGCTGGCAGCATGGGAAAATTCCAAACGGAATGCTTTTCATGCACTGTTCTGCAGTATAACTACAGCAGGCTTTAAGCCCATGCAGATTAACACTGTAGCAAATTTTTTTTAATATTTAACAGACATAAAAAGGTTATTTCCTGATATGAAATTCTGAAAATCTGCATAAATATTTTTTGTGTAAAATTAAATTAGTTATGTACTTCTTTTTAAACTAGAACTTGAAGTATCAAGAATGCCCACATAATTCATATACACACACATATATGCATATATATATATATATATATATATATATACACACATGTATATATATGCTTATTTCATTTTGCTGAAAGTCATGATAATTAATCAAATGCTATTCTGTGCCATACATTTAATCAGCATTTACTTTGTAAGAGAATGAATGTGGTCATACACATTTGTAGTCATCATTGGTGCTTGTGTCATGCAAACACAGGTCTAGTAATCCTGCTTACTAATCTTGTCATGTGGCAACATTTAGGTGATTTTCTACAATATTGTGAATTTAAGTGTATAAATACTTTATACATTTTCACAGTTACAAACTTTCGCCAATATCCATTTCACAATCTTTAAGATGCAATAATGAATTGTAATATTGGGAATCTGCAGCAGTAGGATCAAAATGCAAATTCTATAAAGCAGTGTTTGATGTAAACTTTGCTTAAAGTGCCCGATACACAATTCTTTTAACCTTTGAGCACGGATGAATTTTGGCACATATGGTTATATTGTATTTTCCAATTGTTTAACCATTTCAACAACTTCTACAGGAAATTGGCTTCTTTCGGCAAGATGGAAGATATGGCACTTACTAATGAGGTAACTTGGATGTAAGGAATATCCTGTAAAGTTATTGATATGTCATACTATAATTTCTGCTGATGAATTTGCAGAAAGAAGTTTTCCAATGCATGCATTTTTCAGCTGTTTCTGCATGATTTTTACTGTACCTCAAACATGTCCTAATACATCACAAGGCAGGGTGTTTAATACCAAGCTCATTTTCTTGTGATGATGCTGAACAAACACTTAAATAGAATTACAAATGGTTAAACTGTATGCCTCATTGGAAAGACAGGCTGTCACAACAGAAACAGTTCCTATTTGATAAGCGTTCTTCAGTACTCAAAAAGTTAAAACTGAAATGTGTAACTCTCACATATTCTTCATGGTCTCAGGCAACATCTTGCCTAAACAGAAGGGGGAAAATAACAAACAGAAGAAAATCGTTTTAGTCCTCACTGTATAGGGTTCTGCAATTTAGGGGTAACATTTTGACACTATGGTTTTTCAGTTTGGGCTGTGGAGTTTTACACCACTGTTGCTGGTCTTCGGTCCATCTCAGCTTCCAATTTCACCATCTGCTGCATCTCCTTTGCCTGTAACACCAGAAACAGAGTCTTAACCAGAAAACTATTTGCTTGAAGATGGTGTCAAGATGAACTATTTTCCTGTTTCGTCTCTCTTCCCTGCCCCACCCCAACATCTGAAACTGTTTTGTATAATGCCAGGAAAATTAACCAAAATAGTGAAAAATTCAGCCAATTATGAATCTTGTTCAGTCTAAATGATACCTAGTAATTTTATTCCTATCCATCCTTGAAACGAACAGAGATTGTTTTGGCTTGCTGTTGACACAACCGATGTCACTTTTTTTTCTCTCACAGTACATTAGATTGACCTTTATGTGGCCTAGATGCTAATGCAACTTGCATAGTTGGTTCACAGATGTTCATTTAATTGGAATATTTATTAGGGAAGGATAGAGTTTGCTTGATACTGTTTCCTTGGGTCCACAGACTTGCCCATATGCTTTCTTACAGCACAAGCCAGCTCTTACTTCTCTGGTTGGGTTAATAATCATAAACTACCAAGAAGAAATTCATGTTAATGACGCCTCAGGCAGAGCATGCAGGACACCCAAACATCTGGCAGATCTGGTGAGGGGAATCCAATTGCCTGGTATCATGTAGACAAAACAAGCAGCTGAGAAGCTTTTTCACTTTTTAAGGGACTCTCTGATGTTGTATCAACATAGCCCTTGCTCTGAATCTCACTGTAAATATCTATATATGCATATAGATATATAGTGAGTAGCACAAGATACATCTAACCTGAGAAAAAATTGTTGCCTGTTTCATTTTCAATTGACGTGACATTTAGAAATAAAGAAAATTTAAGAATGGAAACAGAGACAATAAGATATGAATCAAGGTGTACTTTAAGATAGGAGTCAGTTTTTTGAAGTGTGGTGATATCACTACTCAACTCAATCCAGGTGTGTGTGTGTGTGTGTGTGTGTGTGTGTGTGTGTGTGTGTGTGTGTGTGTGTGTGTGTGTGTGTGTGTGTGTGTGTGTGTTCCAGCTGAACGGAGAGCTCATTGGAGGGATCTGCAGTCTACTGATTTGTAATTATGTACTTCTAAATGATTTTTTGTGTGTGTGTTCCAGCTGAACGGAGAGCTCATTGGAGGGATCTGCAGTCTACTGATTTGTAATTATGTACTTCTAAATGATTTTTTTTGCTATAAAGTCTTGTTAGTAAATTAGCTTAACCAACACAACATAACTGGAGAGTTCAGTTCTTGCTACGTCTCTCGAATAACATGTGTCTCAATCTCAGATTGATGGAACAGGTAGATTCAATGTAGTGTGAAAGCGTTCAGGCCTTTAGTCTTAAACTGTAGACAATCTCCTCCCCACACTGTCTATGTCTCATGCCAATACAGAACGTGCTCTTTGATTTTAAAATTAAGGATAATTTGTGTAATTTAGAAAAATGGAGACATGAAGAAAGAAAGCAGACATATGAAGGTGACACAGAGAGACAGTATTTAGGAACACATGATAACGACACATAATAGACTTTGAAAACTCAACTCTTTTTTTGTTTGTTTCTGAAGAATAACAATAAAAAAAATCCTAATGATTAGACTGGTCCTATGCTTTTCTCCCCCTCAACTACTTGAGGTCAATACTTCACATAGGAGGGAAAAAAAAGATCTAGTAGGAGTCAAGTAATTTACTGTCATGACAAATGAGATTAAGCCAGAGGTTAGTTAATATGGGTCTTATGAAAGATGATGATTAGGAAGCTGGAGCAGATGTTGCACTATGATGAGGAGATTCTCTGTGAAGTGTCTGCAAACTGAATTTTAAAGATGTGAAAGCCTTATCTGTCTGTCATTATCAAAAGCATCAAAGTCCATTTTCAGAGAGACACCAGGCTTACTAAAGCCACTCTCAGATATGGGCGAGACTGTGGTCCTTTTTGTCTTAACCCAGCTGCTGACAGCATTTATGGCAACGCTAGAGTAAAGTCTTCAATCATGGCAGACTTGATCCATGACCATGGATCTAGCCTTTCAAGCCTACAGTTGGTAAATCCTGATAAAACACCTCAGAAATAATTCTCTGAAGGGTTTTCAGCATTATTGCTCAACTGGATCCAGTTATGAGAAATCCAAACATGAAATAAACAGTTAAGGCTATTCAATCCAAAACCCCTGAATAGTCATTGTGAACAGATGCTAATCATAAATGGTGAACAATGCTATTAGCAATCATTATCTGGCTGGTACTTCTGTGAGACCGCATTTGCAAAGAGTGCACCCAGGATAATGATGTCATTTAGAAGGGAAGCGACAGCTTGCTGATTATAGGTTCAGTCCTACCTTGTGTTTGAGACACTGCATGACAGGATTTCAAAAGCTGTTTGTACAAAAATAGTAATGTCAAAATTGAGTCATACAACATGAAGCAAATAAAATAAATGAATACTGAAGTGAATTGAAGAAATGGATGCAGAAACCATATGCAGAAAAATAAAAGGTTAATAAAACACATGTCTGTTCATTAATGAAAAATGTCTCCAGGTTGATATCAATGGGAAAATAGCTGGTCTTAGAAGCAGAGACTTCAGAACATACACCTTTATTTAAGCAAGACCTCTTATAACTCTACTTAGGCTAATGAAAATTTAAAAAAGAAATTAAAACTCAGTTTTCAATGGCCAGATAGAACTCTTGGGCATGAGAGCACTGCAGCTATTAATGGCAATGATACGTCCAAAAGAAGGAGTAAACTCTTTGAGAGGAAAGGGGAATGGGAGTAGAGCAAAAGAGGTTGATACTAATTAGAATGCAACTGAATCTGTGTCAGGAAAATCCCTGCTCTTGTCATCTGAAGTCTTTTTAATGGATTCCTCCCCTGATTATATCTGCAGTGCTGCATTATTGAAAAGTGAAGCCTTGTATCAGAATCCCAAACCAACACTAAAAGCTGTGGGGTAGTCTTCACATTCAATACGAGGCCCTCACTCTAGAAACATGTCCAGTCCTAGGCTCCTCCAAAAGGACAGCGAGAATGATGATTAATGGGAAAAAATAACTAAAAATTTTAACGCAACCCTTTTATAGGTTACCTGGAGGGAGGTCCAGTGAGAGTTTTCAAATAAATGTTGGGGATTACTTGACCAAAGGAGGATTAAGAACAACTGCCTTCCACCTTCGCTAAATTTAGAGTTGTGTTTGTGCTGTCCTGTGAGGAATCCGGTTTAGAGACAAGAACCCACTTCCTAACTGTGAAGGCTGGGAAAGATTTAAAGTGATTACTGAAGGTTAAAATATGATAAGACTTAGAGCTGGAAAGGACCTTAAGTAGGTCACCTAGTCCAATCACTCTCATTTCACAGATGAGGAAACTAAGGCCCAGAGACATGACCAGATTTGCCCAAGATCATATAGGTAGTTAGGAGCAGAGTCAGCATTCAAACTCAAACCCTGATTCCAAATGTAGCACATGTTGAATTAGACCACGAATCCTCGTAGAAACATCTCAAGAAGTCCTGAAATTCAGAATAAATCCTCGCTGGCAGATATCTATGGCCTTCCTTGAAGCTGGTGGTGTGATCCACTGTAACATTTCCAGATAGCATTTCCCTACAACTATTTCACTTCCCTTAAGCAATGGGATTATGGTAACTGTAAAGTCCTTTATGTTTTCCTCCTTCCTCCCTCTCTCCATCCTCCTCGCCCTACCACTCTCTATTTCAGGGGTGCCTAGAACAGTTTACTAAGTACTCAATTATTCCTTGATGTATATGAAAATTTTAAACGTAGGACTTCTAGAAAATATATTTGGTAAGTATGGGGTAAGTTCTGTTGTTTATCGGGCAAGGTTTACATCGCTATATCGTCAAGTATATACGTAAGTATCCTAAGATGGTATTTTGTTGTGCTTTACAAAAATCTGAATATTTGATTGAACTTCACTGTCTGTGTGACCTGTGCTCATGTGACCCAAATTAACACTTAGTTGGCAGGGGGCTTTTGATATTGAAAGGAAATGTGTGGAAATTTGAAACAAAAATAACATTACCATAAAATGACCAGATATATACAGCTATGCTAAAAATAATAATTTTAAGGCAAAATCTCTACTATAGTTTGAATTATTTAGATACTGGGAAACAATTGCCAATGATTTTATTTTTCTTTTGTGCTCTAACTAGATATAAGATTAAAAACATTGGCAAACTAAATTTGTGGGTCTGTGCTTTTAGCTTTAAGAAGTATATCCATTTTTGGGGCAGTTAGGTCAAACAAAGGATAGAGCTCTGGCCTTGGAGTCAAGAGGTCCTGCGTTCAAATCTGACCTCAGACACTTGACACTAGCTGTGTGACCCTGGGCAAGTCACTTAACCCTGACTGCTTCACCAAAAAGCAAAAAAAGCTTAGTATAGTGATAAACAAATCTACCTTTTTGCAATTTTGTTTATATCCATTACACTAAGCAACAATGCATTCAATATAGTTTCTTAATTTATTGAACTTCCAGGTTTTACCGTAAAACAATATCTTTATTCTTGTTTTTAACAACATTCTAATCCCTCAATCCCTTCCTTCCAATTTCACATTTGTGAACACTCAATCTTAAGAAAAATACGTGTTCTCTCTCTCTCTCTCTCTTTCATAACACACATACACAAACATAGGCATATACATGACAGTTATTGAGATCTAGGTGACTTGTAACTCTCATTTTTATTCTCTTTTTTTTGAAAAGTGTTTCAATTAAAAATGAAAAGGAAACAAGGTAACTGATGAAGTCTTACAATTAACATGCCTATCAACATGTGACAGGTATATTAAGAGTAGTATATTGATTAAATTAGCAGTGGCATAGTACAAAGCCCTGTCCTGGGTAAGAAATCAAGGAAGAGAGTTTTGGCCCTGGATCAGCTACTAAGCTGTATAATCTTCTATGGGCCTAAATTTCCACATTTGTAAGATGAGGGGGTTGGATTTATGGTCTTAAACATTTCTACCAGCTCTAATATGTTATGAGAAAACATCATACATTAATTAAGGGCAAATTTTAAAAGAACTTTATTGTCTCTTTTCAGGATATTCAGTATATGTTTAAATACTATATGGCCACTAGCAAATGGGATATGAAAATACCCCCTATACATGGATATCTAGACATCTTCAGAGGCATAACTAAAAATTTTTGAACCTACAGCAAGCTGTATCCTCAGATATTGCCGGGGAAGAGATTTTGATGAAATATTCTTGATAATTAGGTGCAAAGCTTATTTATTTCTATCTTTTTTTAGGCAATTGGGGTTAAGCGACTTACCTAGGGTCACACAACTAGTAAGTGTCAAGTGCTTGATCTGAGGCTGCATTTGAACTCAGGGCCTCCTGACTTCAGGGCCCATGTTCTATCCACTGCGCCACCTAGCTACCCCTTATTTCTATATTTTAAAGGCCTAAAATATTGTTAGCACCCTCCAAATGTCAACAATTTTCAGCAACAAAGCCCTAGTTACCATGTCTTCCTGATGATGGTGTTAGAAACTACACACACCATAATCCGGAGCTCATGTTTTTCTTCTAAGAATCAAGTGAGTCCTTAGTCAAACAATTTAAAAGCCTTTTGTTGCCACACTGCTCCTCAATATGAATTACTCGATTCTGGAGAAATAATGTACTACTGGTGGAAATAAGACTCCAAAAAACCTCTCCTACAAAGAACAAACACAGAGGTTTCCTGGGAAGCTTCCATATTTTAATGAAAAACAGATTTAGTCACCACAACACTGCTGAATCTTAGAGATTTAACTCTCAAGTGTTGCTTATCGTCATATTCTCTTAATGTATAAACACGCAGTATAGTGTAGTAGAAAGACCACTGGACTGGGAGTCAGGAGGACTAGATTCTAATCCTGACTCTCCCACAAGTTAGTTGTGTGACCTTGGCAAATCACTTCATCTCTCTGTATCTTTGAAAGAAAGGGGTTGGATGAGATGATTTCTAAGGTGTTTTAAGGTCTAACATTCTTTATTTCCAGTAAATGATGTTGATGGACACTCTTTTGTTTGCATTCCACCAACAAGTGCTTGTTTACCTGTAGAAATCTACCTAAAAATGCCTTTAGAGCAAATCTCTTGCCCTTTAAAGCAAAGACTGTCTTTGATGACCATGAAGTACCCTCATCCGGATTTTCTCTTTATTATACCTCTTGATCACCCCAGAATGGTCATAATGCCTATTGGTTTATTTTCCCTATGTCCACATTCCCTTTCCTCCTAAACATCAATTTTTCCATCTCTTTTAGGTGTAATAGTGGGAAGTACAACCTCTTAAAAATCACCATTTCTTACTGTTTCTAATAGGAGTGGCTTCACTACAAAAAGATGGTCAAAAATGTCTTTATAGTGTAAAACAGCTTATTTTATACCTTTTCAAGTAAAATACCTGCTCATTCTGTTTTTCCAGGACTTCTAGATGTTCAAGTTGAACTTTTTTCAACTGATCCATTTCTTTTGACTGTTTCATTGCAAGCTGCAAATAAGACAGCAGTAAATTACATTCGCAACATAGACTGTGTTTTCAAAGTAATATATAATTGACTGTCAAATACATTAAAGGAGATAAATTAAAGGAGATAATTAAAGTGTATGGGAACTGAAGATTTTTAAAAAGAGATGTGTTGTTTATAGAGATAATCCATGGTTAGAACTTGGCTTAATTTTCTGAATGATACAAAGACAAGGCCAAATAAAACCTTGGCTGGGAGTACTTTTGCCATTTAGTGGAGAGAGTAAAGCCAGAACTAAGATTTCTATATAACTGGGTGATAAGCTATACAAAAAGAAGAAAAAAGAAAAAAAGAAAACAAAAAAGAAGAAAAATGTAAAAACAAATAGCAAGAATCCTTCTCTAAGAACATACACAGGACTTATTCATGAACAAGTCTCCAAAAAATACTTACTCTCTTTCTTTCTTCCAGAAACTTTTTAGTGTTACTGCTGTTTAGTTCCCTGACTCTCCTAAAAAAGAACAAACACAAATATTTGTTTTTGTTGACATAATATTGTATGCACTTGATAAAGCATCAAAGGATACCAGCTTCTAATAAATTATCTGGATTTATTTATTCATTTTCTAGAGAATTGGTCTGGTTTTGAGTGATTATAATCAATATTTCTAAATAAATACTAGGACTCATGAGAAATGAAATATAAGTGGAATATGCCTCAAGTCCCATTCCACAGATATCAGATCAGATTGTGTGTGTGTGTGTGTGTGTGTGCGCACGCACGTGTGTGTGAGTGTGTTTGACCTAAAATGACAGGATTGTTGTGATAAAAGAATGCATTTGCAGATAGTTTGATAGCATTTGCTAAAAAGATATCTAAATGTAACTTTTAAAAAACTTAAAGAATACACAGTTTATGTCTTTTTAAAATCAGTCTACATTAATTGAGGATTTATTATTAGACGTAGTCTATGCTGGGAATTACCTTTTGAAAGACAGTTTGATAAATGAAGAGCATAGTAAGACCAATAGATAAACATTTAAATGACTTTTTAAAAAAATCATCCCTTAAAAGATCTTTCACAGTACAATAACTGCAAAGGCTGCCCCAAATTATTCTGAATAAGTGAGGTTTTACTATAATTACAATTTTTAAAGTTTCTGAACTTTCTGCTTCTGAAACTAAAGTTTCTGTAGTCCCCATTCACGTGTGGTGATTTCTTGCTGGAGTGCCTTCCCATGAGTAACCAAAGAGGAATGTGTCAATTGAATACTGAAGAATGAGGTGCTACAGTATGAATCAAGAAAGTAGATCTTCATAGTTAAAAGAATGATGACTTTAAGACCTTCACAGTAACAAACATGAACGATATCTCTTGATGGGGAAATGCAAAAAGGGAAAAATAAAGATCTTAAAATAGATAGAGAATTCCAAGAGCCCAAGTCCCTGAATCACTGATTAGGAAATCCAGACAACAGAAAAATTAAGGGAGGTTATAAATAAGATAATAACGAGGATACAAATATCAATAATAACTCAAGGAATGTTGGTCAAATTCCATTACAAAGAAAATTCCCTCCTCTCCCCCTCTACCCCCAAAGATACCAAAAGTTTCCAAGTCTCAGTGATAGCTTTTTATAAACAATAGATTCTAGAAGAGTTAAAAACAAATGAGGTGTTATTTTAGCATTCATTCTAGTAAGATCTGGCTTCTATTAACAACATAGGTACAAGAGTATAGCAGTAATTATATTGATTTGGAATTGTAATTAATCAATATTGTTAAATATTTTTATTTTGTTATTTTAAAATCCATGAAATTGTTTGACAACATCATTTAAGGTAAATAGCTCTCATAACAGATCATAAATTAGTTTGGAATGTGCTGAAATTAATATCCTGCTTATATGTGTTACATGAGATTTCTGATCATGAAAATAAATCATTTCTCTAGCATCTCATCCCAGGATGTGGGATTATTTAAACCATTAATAAATACACTGTCCATTAAGTCAAAGTATATTAATATTTAAAGAAAACTTCACACTTTTTAATATGGAAGAGAATCCTTAATTTAATACATATCCTAAGAGAATCACTCATGTCAGGCCTCTATCTATCTAACCATAGCCCAGCCCAAAGCAAAAAGCACATTTTAGGCAACTTATTCCCAAAGATTTCACTGGCTAAATAGTCAAGATTTTCGGCATCTTTTAAAAAATAACCTGTAAAATGTCTACCAGATAACCATCACTGATGTCTTAATAGAATGCTTCAAGATCACAATAAGATACACAAGAATAATTTTTATCCCTATGAGCTCATGACTTTGCAATGCATTTTCTGTGGATTAATGACAAGCTTTGCTGTGGGTCATTAACCTCAGCCACAGCATAAGCCCTATGTGGATATCACTACCGGTGGATGAATCTAGAGTTTATCTAAATCCATAGTGTGTCCCAGAGTCACTTTATGCCTGATGATATGTGAAATCCTAGGTGCTTCTGGGGGTAGATGGCAAGCTTCACAGAAGTAAACCAAAGTTTACTATATCAGTGAGTGCTCCCTAACAACTGGAGTGACCAGAAGAAAAAAAAAGGGCTGATATTAACTCTTTTTATAAGTCAAAGGATAAACCAGGTGGCAAGACAAGCAATAAATCAACACTTGCATGATCAGCAAAGTGGGAAGTAGAGTGGAAGAAGTAAAATGGCTAGATGTATGTGTGGCCCTTAGGACTGAACAATCATAGTAAAGAATAAAACGACCCCACAGCCTCAATCATAAGCCTTCGTAGCAGTGATGAGAAGCAGAGAACACCACGAATCCCAAATCCATGTCTTTTATTTCCAAATCAGAGAACATTTTCTTCTTTGGTGTGTATAAGTAGTAAGTCAATGCCATACCTCCTCACAGTAAGCAATCTTCACTTACCTCTCTCTTTCTGCTTTATTTTTGATTGATTTGTCTTGACTGATGGCTTTGCTATTTTCCATGGAAATCTTGGCCTGATTGGCACGCATTTCCTTGCATTCTCTAGACACAAAGGAGAACATGCTTTGAATCTGTTAGGTCCACTAATGATTTTTATTTATCTTCTTAGGTTACTATTCTGCATGGTATCCACTCTTTACTTCAGGAGTGATAGTATTAAAGCCATCTGTAATAGTATGTCTGCCTATCATGGGCTGACAATGCTGCACCTTAAGTTCATAGAGCATCAGCTTTTTTTCAGTGTCACTGGTGGGCTCAGGAGGTAGAGAACAAGTCTATGTCTCCAAAAAACAAGTGTGATTCAGGTATACCCTGTATTGTTTTATTCCCACTGAATCCAAATAAATCTGTACTGGATTGAAAAAAGGATGGCCTACCTCCCTCTGGAATTATCTTTTGTGAGTGAATATGATATAAATGTTTGCAACCATCAACAACTCACTTCTGATGATTTGGTCTAGTAAAAGACATAGACAATAAATGGGAACAATCCTTTATGTCGCAAAGGTGTGTTCAATCAGGGATTCTTAACCTTTCTGTGTCACGTACCCTTTGACAGTCTGGTGAAGCCTAAGGAACTCTTAGGATCCAGAATAATGCTTTTAAGCACATAAAAATCAATACATAGGATAACGAAGTAAACCAATTATGTTGAAATATAGTTATCAAGATAGTTTAAAATAATTTTTAAATTATATTTTTTCTGTTGATGAAAATCTGCCTTCTCATCCTTTATCCCAGTGTAATGCATAGAAGACAACCTATGTAAAATCATGTACATGTGTAATTAAATATACACACTACATATATGAGTACATGTGTATGTGCATGCATATGTGTCTATATACATTTATACATGTGTATATGTGTGTAAGTGTGCATGTATACGTGTGTATACATACACATATATATGTACACATACACACACTCTTTAAGATTTCCATGCTCTATGATTCCATCAATGACATGAGATCCATTCATTGATACAGACCACAAACCTCTGTGACTAGTCTGAGTATGCCTGTGACTGATCCTAGAAATGAGCATTTCTGAACTTTGCTAAATTGGGCCTTGAAAAACAGACTTATCAGGCCTGCATAACCATACATCACCAAGACCAAACTATGAATGTGTCAGACACATTCTTACACTATAGAATATATGCTATTAAATACTTCTGTCCAACACACACAGTGGCTTCTTGGGAGCTTACAGAGCACAACCTGAAAACCCCTGGATCTAATTATAGCCAAGACAGAGTATCTATGTTAGCTCTCTAGAGCTAACTACTAGCATAGTTCTGGGCCAAAGAAGAATTATGAATCTTTTGGTTAGATATTTGCTGATTAGATAACTTATGAGGTATATGCCAAGATTAAAATTCTTTATAGGCAATATGATGCCTATTATTGGGGGCAACTAGATGGCACAGTATATAAAGTGCTGGGCCGGGAGTCAGGAAGACTCATCTTCATGAGTTCAAATCCAGCTTCAGACACTGACTACCCCTGTGACCCTGGGCAAGTCATTAAACCTTATTTGCCTCAGTTTTCTCATCTGTAAAATGAGCTGGAGAAGGAAATAGCAAACCACTTTAGTATCTTTGTCAAGAAAATCCCCAGTGGGGTCAAAAAGTTAGACATGACTGAGAAACAACTCAACCAATAGGTTGGCTCATATTTGCGCTTGACTTCTTGGCAAGTAGATTAGTATGTATTATTACTACAGAAATAATGCTATCTCATATTCACTTAGAGAAGCAGTATCAGGCAACAGAAAACTGATCTCAAAGCAAGGGAAGACCTACCTAGGTTCAAGTCCCACATGGTGAATGTGTGATCCTGGGGAAGTTACTTAACTCAGTGCTCTGATAGGTTTAAGACTCCAAGTTTCAAAGAGGATGCCAATCTGCATTGGTTCAGGGAGTTTCTTCATCTGTGAGGTCCTTATACCAATAAAATCACAGGTCTAATTCCTATGCTCATTCCTTAGCATGCTTTATAGTTTCTAGAGTGCTTTCACATACTATCATACAGCATAAATGTCAATGGTTTAGGATTCAAAGGACCTAGATTCAAATTATGCTCTGTTATTTACCACCTTTGTTACTTTGGGTCATGTAACTTCTTTAGACTTTGTTTTCCTAATCAACAAAATGAGGAGCTGTAACTATAACATCTAAGTTCCCTTCTGGTTCTAAATCTACAATTCTATTATCTAATTCAGGGCAGCTAGTGAATAGAGTGCCAGGCCTCTCATCTTCCTGAGTTCAGATTTGGCCTTAGATACTTACTAGCTGTGTGAACCTGGGAAAGTCACTTAACTCTGTTTGCCTCAATTCCTCATCTGTGCAGAAGGAGGTGCAGAAGGAGAAATGACAAACCACTCCAATATCTTTGCCAAGAAACCCCAAATAGGGTCATGAAGAACCAGATGGGACTGAAAACGTCTGAACAAAATTATCTAATTCAATTGCCATGATGATACTGCAAGGTAGGAAGGCCAAGTACTATTATTCCTGTACTATACAAAACAAGGATAAGTGACCTTGTCTAAGAGAACACAGCTAGAAAGGGGCAAAGCCAAGACAATACACTAGGTCTCCAGATGCTGAGATGAGTTCTTTCCTTTATACTACACCAGGTTCAGTGATGCTAATTTATTGACCTAAGCAACAACAAATACTTTTAAAATGAAAATAACTCATATTTCTGAAAGAAGTTTTGTGGTTCATTGTTGATGGAAAAGTACTAATACTTTTGTTTGATATGGATGCAAGTTTAAGGGAAATCAGAGTTTTATCTGCCCTTCAAGTGAACACCAATGATATTAAAAAACTAGTTTTAAATTGTTTCTTTTCCCATTACACTTACTATTTGAGGCTATTTCTTATTCATTCAACTACAGAAAGATTGAAAAAGATATAGAATTTACTTGCAGTACCCTATTCTGTGAAGTACCTTCAAAATAATAGGAAAGGTCTAAAAACCCTGGTATCATAGCAACGATCAAAAGCAGCACACTTACTTGTGCTTTCTGCATATTGAATCAAGAATATTTCTTACACACCAAGAAAAGTGGCCTTTTTTTCTATTCTAGAGAGAGGGAAATTTTATACTTTAAATGGGCTTAGGGGATAGACCATTAAGCTTCAAAATTTTCTAGAGGGTAAATTTAATTTCCTAAAGTTCTACTCACCATACTGTGTCATGGACATGAAGTTGTATTCTCAAAGTTTATGTTGTTAGTTTGAGGTCTGGTAGGTGCTACAAGAAGCAGTGGGTAGAATACCAGACCGGGGATCTGGCTGAGTTCAAATCTGGCCTCAGGTACTTACTAGTTATGTGACCCTCGGAAAGTTACTTAACCTTTGATTGCCTCATTTTTCTCAACTGTAAAATGAGGATAACAGAATTTACCTTGCAAGCTCGGTGAGAGGATCAAATGAGATAATACTTATAAAGCACTTAGCACTGTGACTGGCACACAGTAGGTGCTACATAAATGCTTATTCTTCTCCCTTCCTTTTCCATACCAACATGTAAAGGCTGTGTGTTTTTCAAGGACCACTCTAGCTAAGTTAAGGAAGCTCAAGTAGAATCAGAACCTTAAATCTGCACAAAGAGAGTCTGAAATTACTGAAAAGACCTGATGGTAGATTAACTATCACTTACTGGAAGAAACTATGGAAAAATGAAAACACCTGACCAACTTACAATACTTGTTCCTAGGATGTTCTAATCAAAATTCAGTCACTGTGACCTGCTAAATATATATCATCAGTCTCCTTGTTTACATCTTCCTTTCCCAGCATTGTATAATCCATCATTTGTTTTTCAATTCTGTGCCATCCTCAATCCGGTTTTAAGAGTGCCCATTAGTCGGTCATTATCAGCTCAGAAGAAGAGCGTGGATTTTTGAATATTATGGTCTTGTCAAGGACCATAGCAAGAAATAAAATGTCATGTTGGTTGTCAGAAAAAAAAAATTGGAGTATGGGGTCAGTTCTTCAACATTCATCACCAAAAGAATTGATATCAGGAGATGTATTTTCCAAACATGGCAGCTCCCAATGGTTTGCGATCTGTATCCATGGAGACGCACAAACTGATGAAATGATGACTCTTTCAAGGTAGGAAAGTATTGTTCATTCATATGTATTCACCCAAAATAATGAGCAAATATAAAAAAGTATAAAAAAAAAATCATATGGCTATGTCTCTTTGTGTAAAATAGGATACAGGATAATCACCCTGGTCAAAAAAAGAATGTTCAACTGAAATATCAAGATAATAAAAATGAGTGGTGGTTTGGGATTTTATTTTTGTCTTGAATTAGCTGCATGAAATATCATTTTATCTATGCTGCATTATGTTTTTAATATATCCTAAAATGTACCAAAGGTTATGATCATGATTTGGGACATGTTAATAACTGCTTAAAATAAATAGTAATTAGAAATGTGTAAATTCAAATTAGAATCAAACATTGGTCTCATTAATAGCCAAGTGATTTCTGCTGGAGAAGAATGTATTTGGTAACCATTTCCTATGGTTTTTGAGTACAGGCTCTCTAGCACAAGTTCTAACAATCGCTCACCTCTAACACTTCACAATTATGTGAAGAAGGTAGGATGGGGCAAAATCAAAAGACTTTAATCACATGGACCTTAAGAAAACCACCTTGTCTAATTTCTTTGAAATGAGAATAAGCTACCAAGGAAGTCTAGAGAACAATAAACTGCTTTTTTCCCCTTACAAAACAGTTCAAAATCAATGGACTGAGAAACCCATTTTAAAGCATCCCTATTACTATTTGTAGTGTGAAATATTCTGTTCTCAGTTTAATCACGTTAAAAAACAAAACAAAACAAAATTAACAATACAATGCAGTCACAGCATGAGAATGTAATTATAATATGAAGGGGACGCAGATGACAGTGTCAACTCAATTATTTGGGAGTTATCTGATTTGTGCATCATCCATGTCTCTTTTTCCTCTTCCCTCTTTGGAGTCCTGCTTTCTGGCTATTTTAGGTACATGATGAGTAAATCAAAGGAGGAGAAACTCAAATTATTTTAGCTATTTGTTAGCAATGTAGGATAAAGAGTAGGTAGAGAAAGAAGGCAAAACTACATAAACTAAGTTTGTCAGTATCTGTAGATTTTGGCTATCCACGTTCTACCAGGTCCCTATTAACAGGGATAATTAAGAATTGGACTAACAAATTAATGATGTACCCTATTACTGACTTAGTTCTTCCAGTGTCTTTGATGTTCTTGGACACTTCTTTGTTCAGAGAAATGACAGACCATCTAGCCATCTGAACACCTAATGAAGAATATTTAGTCTTCTTAGGTACTTATGCAATATTAAAAGAAGAGGCAGACCTTTAGTGCTCTGGGTAGGTGCTCTCTTAGCACAGTACCTGGCACACAGTAAGTGCCTAATAAATGCTTGCTGCTTTGCTTTGCTTTTAAACAATTTCTGGAAAAACACAGATCAGAACTGCCCAGGATAAAAATGTGTTGAAGAGCTGCAATCTGCACTTATGGAGCCAGCATCCACACATGCACAAAATCATAGCTTTACCAAAGTATCAAGAGAATCCTAGCTAAGCTGTGCTAAAAGGTATCTTGGAACACCTACTGAAGTTTATGGCCTTGTTTTCAAGAGAGGCCATTTGCCTGTATCAAAAACTCAACCGAGGAAGAGTCACCTAAGCCAAGATAGATTTTACTTGCTCACAGGAGCAAACGGAGTCAAATTACTCAGCACTGTTCCAATTCTACATGGAACAGCCATATATTTTTGTAAGTTTCAAAGGAAGGCGGGTGTCGATTAAGTAGCAGCGGAGAAAAACAACAGTGTTATTACATTCTGTAACAGCCACAGCTTGAATTCAAATCTGGCCTCAGACCCTTACTAACTGTATGACCTTGGGCAAATTACCCAACCTCTGTATGGCTCTGGTTCCTCATCTGTAAAATGGGGGTAATAATGAAACCCATCTCCCAGAGTCACTGGGAAGATAAAATGACTTAAGATTTATAAGCACTTTGCAAACCCTAAAGTACTATATAAATGCTATATAAGTCTATACTATATAAATCCTCCTCTTCCTCTCTTCCTTCTTTCTCTCTCTATCCTTTTCCCCACATTGATTCTAATTGTCAATATTCCTCCTCACTGTTCCAAGGTGGAATTGGTCTTTTCCCTCTTCACGTGTCTATCATAAGTTTCCCTTTTCTCTCTGCCAATCTCAATCCTCACTTTGTTAAGGGTCCAGGTTATGGTATACCTCTTTTTTAGAGCCTTTTCCTGACTGTTCCATTTCACATTGATTTCTCCTTCCTCTGAACTTCCTTAAAAACTTACTTATTACATTCATATGATATTTATCACATACTAATTTGTTCTGTTTCTCTTTTCAGGTGTGTATTTTTGCCTCCTTAGCTCCTTGAAAGGGAAGGAATCATCTCTGATGCTTGCACAGCATTTGTGGTATACAATGATGTCTAATAAATCTTTACTGAAGGAATGAAATAAATACATAACCAACGTATAATCAATAAACTCGATGAGTAAATGATACATATAATACATAAATGTATAGGATAAATATATAATAAATAGGCACAATATATGCAATAAATAATAAATCTATGCTCTTGGTTCAATGACCATCCATTGTTCTGAAAACACATAAACAAAGCAAGGCAGTATGGAGCTGGATGCCCAGAGTGGGGGTACAGTGCAGCTCCCTAAATTTCATCAATAAAAAATGGCTGGGAAGACAACTGGTAAAGCCCAAACATAAAGTACAGCCATGTGAGTGATTTTTCTGTGTGGCGACTTCAAACTGACCTGTCATGGGAAAGCTTCAGCTGCTGAGTTTGCTGCTCGTGAGCACTGATCAACAGTTTTTTCAGAAGATCACACTGCTGGCTGAGGTGCAGATCCCGGATTTCTTGCTCCTCAGCACTGTGGGTATTGATCATTTCTGACCACTCTTTTGTATGCTGGGCTACAATCTCTTTCACCTGCTCAAGGGAGAGGGGAGAGTTCCAAGATCAGCTAGGATAGAAGACAATGTAATTGCAGCAGACTGCAGATTCCATTGAGGAGTAAGTGAAGAAGGCAATGGAGAGATAATTCTAATCACTGTGTACTAGTAATCATTGTGTACTAGTTAACCCTTTTACAAATGAACTATATTTAAATTATTTGTAGGAACCACTGAAACTAGTGGCATCTGGTGCATTTCAATAAATTAGGTATTTTCAATCAGAGTATCACAGTGCAGCCTTTCTGATATCCCTCCTAATTAGAGCTCTGGTTTACCTGGACCTGAGACCTCTCCATCCCCTTTATTGGTATTCTTTTCACTGTATGACATGTCCCCAGCTTCTCCCCTGTGAAGAGGATGAATCCTAAGATATTCCTATGGATTATTTGATCATCTGATTTCCCATCGACCCAGAAATAAAACGCTGTACCTGATTCAGCATATATGAATCTAAAAACATTAATAAACCAGAAGGAGGTGTCGAGACCACCAAAAGAGAAGAGCTCTTCTCAAGCAAACAGATGGCTACATCTATATCCTTAGTGTTGGCGCTGTTCTATAATGATTTCATCTGTAGCTTCAATTTGAACTGAATGGTCATGATTCACGTAGATAGAGGGACAACTAGAATAACTGATAATCCCAAGTCTCAATTGGTTGTGCAGCTGGTGCAGATGGTGGCTGATGGTCTTGACTAAAAGTTTTAGTTGGAGGCATTTGATAAGAGGTTTTCATGACGAGATAGTCTGCAGCTTAGGTTCTGAACTGGAACTCAAGACTAATGTCTCTGAATTTCTAAGTAGTTATTTGAGATTGTCTCCTACCTCTTTTTACGACTGAGGAAATCTCCTGCAGACCTAATATGACTCCTCACCTGTCATGTAGGGTTTCCACCACTGTCTCAGGACACAGTGGACAACAAACAGGAAGAAGACAAGATTACAGCAAGTGCCAAATAGCACTCAGACACTTCTGTGTTTCCTCTATTTCTCTAAAACCACAGACATAGAATTTAGGAAACCTTCATGTCTTGAAGTCTAACTAATTATTGTCTTGATTTTATAAATAGCCATTGTTCTGAAATAAACAAATTATGATCAGAGACGGATTTCCAGAAAGAAGGCACAGCTGTAAAGACCATGGCAATTGTGAGAGGTTTAGGTTGTTTTTGGACTATGTCTGTGTTTTGTTCTCTTGGTCATTTGGGAATGGTTAAATTCCTCTTGGGCTTCTGTTTAATAAGAATTAATCATCACATGAAAAGCAACATGGAATCCTGGACAGCCTTAGATTCTAGAAGACCTGGATTGATCACTCACTCAATCAATAAACCTTTACTATGCACCTACTATGTGATAAGCACTGAACTAAGGGCTGGGGATACAAAAAGTGGCAAAAAAACAGTTCCTGCCCTCAAGGAGCTTATACTCTAATAGGAGAGACAATATGCAAACAAATACACACAAAATAAATAGGAAATAATTAAAAGAGGGAAGGCACTGGAATTAAGAGGTACAGGGGAAAGCTTCCTGTAGAATGTGGGATTTTAGTTGAGACTTAAAGGAAGTCAGTGTTGTCAGTAGTCAGATTCATGTCCTACTTAATGACATGTACAGATTGTATGAGATTGGGTGATTTAAGTTCCCAGTGTCCCAGTCAACTTTCTAGGATGATAAACTGTTATACAGTAGCTGACAATTAATTAGGGGATTAATAAAGGGGATTTCCTTATTGGGAATTCATTTTACCAATGAAATCACAGATACTTCTCCCAAGAATTCATACAGGTGTAATAAATATGATTAAATTAGACCCTTCCCATTCAAGAAATTAGACTTTTGAGGGACAGCTGCTGTTTACAGGTTGTTTTTGTGGTTTTTTTTCCCATCACAATAAGTCAGGATTCAGGGCCAACCTGAATCAAGTCTTCCATTAAGCCACAGACACGGCATACTATGGCTCTTAGTAGTCATCCTGGCTATTTCTTCTCTGATTTCCAAAGGCAGTCAGTTTTCTGTTTGATATTCTTGAGTGTATTAATTAAGTTGGAGTTGAATGAGACAGTGGCAGTGAAGGCTTATTGGGAATTCTTTCATTAGTGCTTTTTGACTGATAAACAACAAACTGGGTTATCCCTTATTTGTGGTTGCTTTTGATGAATACCCTGGAAAAATCCAAGTGTATTTTGTTATAAGATGCCAGTTCAGGAAAGATTTTAGGTCCAGAATAATAGGAAGGAAAAACTAAAATAATTAAGGCACTCAAGATTCAAATCTCCATTCTGGTCAAACTGGGCACATGAAGTTCCCGGGTTTGGTAGTTAGAGAATACTAATTCAGGTGTGTCAATCCAGCCTTCTGCTACACTCTGACCCACTCAGGAGCAGTACTGTTTGAACAACAATCATGGCTTGATCTTGTTGTCAGTAATATGATGACAAACATCACACAAACCTTGAGTTCTGCTTAGGAAGGGTATTGGAGGAATGCAGTCATTATATGGAGATAAGAGAAAATTTTCTTTGGGAAAATAGGAAAAAAGGTTCTTTTTCACTAGAACAAAACTAATTTAAATGATCAACTTTGGAGTGGGGATTGGGGTAAGTAAAACAAGTCTCAAGTAATTTCTCCATTTGTTTGCATGACTTCCATAGAAAATCAAGTATCGTTCTGCTTGGAGAGTTTTCAGAACAAGAAACAAACTGTGAAATAAGCAAGACAAGCTCTTTTGTTCCATCATTCTGCATGCATCATTTGTATCATTTTATAAAAATAAACTTCTGCTGGCCTCATTCTCTTCTGTGTATGCCCACTGGCAAAACTAGCATATTTTCTTACCTTAGATTTATGATCTGATGTTAATGTCTGAATTTTAATTTCAGTTTCTTTCTTCATTTCGAGACAATTACTTCCTCTAAAAAGGAAATATGTACCAGAAGTTACATACTTTTCCATCCAGTTGGCTTTTGCTAAAAAGATTTCTAGTGAATATGATATGTTCATTAAACATGAAATGTTATACAGCTTTTATAAATAACATTTTTCCAGTAATATATTCACACCTTACAAATATTACTGGTATTACTGGTATAATGATTACTCAATTTAACCACTTTGCAATGAGATGACTTTAGACCCAATAATTATTCCATTTTTAGAGGTCTGTCATTGTGTGAGTTTCCATTTTGGATCCTATTAGTCCTTTTTTTTTTATACTCTGCCAATAAAACTCACACTGGACTAAAAACTGGCAAATAAATTGTCAGCCTTGAAATGAATTTTTATTTATGTTCCTTTGGTTTTAAAGCCAGCATCTATCTTTAAATGTCCAACATGGGAAAAACACAGCATTTTATTTGGTGTTAGCATAATTTTTTCTTCTCTGAGCAAAAAATGTGATTATAATTATTTATTTCAGTTCCTGGCCTGGCTTGGTCATCTTCTTCTCCCTTCATATCTAAAGTTCTTAAGTGAATTAACTTTGAAAAATTTTTATTACAATGACTCTCTTCTTGGAGTATCTATATGGTTTCATTAACAGCCAAACTAGGACACAGTTCCTAGAGAAGTAAGCGAGCCATCCCTTTTAAGATGCATTTGCTGATATTTAAGACACAATATTTAATTATTGAACTCACGTAGTTCTTCGTCATTGTTTTATCACATTTTCATATTATATCTTGTGTTATAGTTATTTCTGAACATTTCTTCTCTTTCCTATTACACTACAAGTCTTATAAGGAGAAGGACTATGAGTTCTTTGTAGTTCCCACAGTGTCCTACACGTTTACACTCAATAAATATTTATAGAATGAATACTTTGGTCCAGGGATGAGAGAGAGAGAGAGAGAGAGAGAGAGAGAGAGAGAGAGAGAGAGAGAGAGAGAGAGAGAGACAGAGAGAGAGAGAGAGAGAGAGAGAGAGAGAGAGAGACAGAGAGAGACAGAGACAGAGAGACAGAGACAGAGAGACAGAGAGAGAGAGAGAGAGAGAGAGAGAGAGAGAGAGAGAGAGAGAGAGAGACAGACTCTGTGTGTGTGTGTGTGTGTGTGCGCGTGATGGATCCATTTGACAGTCTGATGAAACCTGTGGTTACACCTCAAAATGATTTTTTAAAAAAAATAATAATCAAAGAAAATGCTAAATTTCAGTTACAGGTCAGTGAACATGAAGGTGAATTTTCCCCATCCAAGTTCCTTCTGAAAATCTATCCAGAGATTGGGAGAGAGGAGTACTTGGGCCCCCAGGTTGGGAATCCCTGCTTTAGCCTGTCAACACATTTTGAATAGAGAGTATCTCCTAAATTGGAATAAATTGACTGAATTCTAGAAATTGTGATCTCAACTGATTGAAAAATCTTAACCTCTCATTCTCATTGTTTTTAATTTTCTGCTTAACTTGGTGTTCATTGAGAATGAATATGCTTGAATTTTACCTGGTTCTACATTACTAGATTTACCCATCTCTAACTGACGCCATCATCAATCCACTGCTACTAAGCATATACAGCACATCTAATCAGGGAAATTCCTTTATCATTACCAGTCCATGTGAAAAACTCTTCTTCCTTATTATAGTTAATTGATCTTGCCATCTATTTTCTAATCACGTTAAGAGTTTCTTATACTCTTGGATTCTCTGTCTTCTGCCCTGTTCTGGCTTCACCCTCCCCACACTCAGGTGTACTTAGTGGAATGCCCTGGGGTTAATGCACAACATAAGACACAACTGTATCACTAGCCAACAACTGTTGCAGCTGGATGTACCTCCTCTTTACAATTTTCTTCAGTCCCTGTGGTGTTGAGTGTGCAGATAGGATCCTAAATTAATATGAAAATTTCCATTAATTTTGGGAGAATTTTCTGCCTGAAAAATTTCTAGTAACTGAGGAGCTGTCTCTGACCATCATACTTAGCAGTTTTGTTAAGAAGGTAAACAGGTTTGGGGTTTATTTGTACTACATTGTATCATCAGATAATTTAATCAAATAGGTATCCAGTTTGGGCCATCCAGGCCCCTGTCTCTTATATACTTCTTTGATTTGGATTATCAAGGTAACTGACTTAATGTTTGACTTCACGATGGGCAGGAGCACCCTGCCTACACTTAATACTGTGTAGGCTTAGCAACAGTTGGGGTTTAAAGAGCGTTCTATATAGGTAGTGTTGAATCGACTTTAGTCTTTTCCATTTCATTCAACAGTATCTTATTTATTGAGAACACTGTCAAGTGCTTTAGTCTCAAATGATGTTGAAAATAAATTCAAACGTCATATTAGATATAATAATTCCTTCCCCTACCCCCATCCAGATTCACTGATGCGGACAGAAAATAATACACTCTTAGGGGAATTGTCTGCAGAAGAAAGATAAAGGCAGGCTGTACAGATTAAGCAATTCTACCCGTTATCTTGGGCAGCTAGGTGGCACAGTGTGTAGACTGCCAGGCCTGGAGTCAGGAAGACTTTTCTTTCTGTGTTCAAAACTGGGTCCAGACACTTACTAGATGTGTGACCCTGGGCAAGTCACTTAACTCAGCTTCAGTTTTCTCATCTGAAAAATGAGTTGGAAAAGGAAATGGCAAACCACTCCAGTATCTTTGCCAAGAAAGCCCCAAATGGGGTCATAAGAGTCAGACGTGACTGAGAAATAAATGCCTGAACAACAATAAGCCAGTTATCTGCTAATTGGTGCATATTATTAATTTGCTAGAGAGGTAGTATGGCCAAGTGGATTCATAACTGGGCTTGTGATTTGATCTGTTGTAGGAGGGAGTTTCCATGTTGATGAAATCACAGATTTTTGATTTGTATAGTATAATTTCACTCTTAAAGAAGGTAGCCAAGGACAGATTTTCTAACTGGTATATCCTAGTATCTATCAAGACAGTACACATAATTATAGGTATCTATAAATAAGAACCATTTACCCTTTAATTTAAGTGAATTACAAAATTTGTTTGTTTCAAGTCCATACAATTTAAGTCCTCTGAGGGCAGGGACTGTTTCTTTTTTCTGTCTTGTATTCCCAGGGTTGAGCACAGGGTAGGTACTTAATGTGTGTTAAATTGATATCATTAAATTAAATCTAGGGAACCAGAATTTAAGGAGCAGGTACTCCAAAGTCAAAAGGTCTTACAATGATTTATTAGAATGCATGACTGTAGTTTTCTAGTCACCCTAAATAAACCTAAGGGTATATCTACAAAAGCTTGAGTGGAAAGCAAAGCTTCCACCCCACTCTCCTTACGATTCCTCAGTTGAAGGGTTGTAGAAGGCAGAGAAACACAAAGGAAGGTCCAAAATGAAACACAGAGCAGCATCAGAACTCTGGGATCATTCCAGAAGATGTTTTCTTGTTTATAGTCAAGGTATTGAAAAATGTTAGGCAGAATTTAAGCACCTTTAGTGAGATTCTCCATAAGATTTCCTAGGAAAGCCTGCTGACTTCATGACCTGTTTTTATGGTGTTTAAATAACTGGGCATCTCATTTTCAAAGAACAAATCAGCAATGAGTTTTAATGACTATAACTGTAACTGAATGAATATGAACACAGTTCTTCTGCAAAGCCAACAGCTGGCTGGCATGCTAAAAAAAAAAATTAAATAAAGGACTTGTTCTCCTGGGCAAGACAGAAAAATCTGGGTTTTTGAGGAGAAAATGAGGCAACATTACCCCTTCTTCTTCATTGCTTTCTCTAAGATTTTCTCATGAGACAACTTCTCTTTGTCATATTGAGCCACAATTTTGTCAACTTGTGTACAGTGTAACTTCTGCATGGTGCTGTGTTCCTACAAAAAGAGCAAAATGATTAGTAGCTTGGACTTATAAGGTAACACTAGAGCAGCCCATGTGAGGAAACTCTGGAAACAATATCCTGCCTATAGAACGTTTCCTGGCCACTCCTCTTTCCATTGGCTTCCCAGGGCTCCATCTAACAGAAGAATTAACGCTGAGGGAAAATCAGAGGACACAGGATAGGACAGCAAGTCCAACCTAGTATCCAATGAAGGAATCATGTCTACAAAATTCCTGACAATTTATCATCTAAACCCTATGGACAAAGGTAGTTTTCCTGATACCTTTAGTTAATGCTCTCCTTCTCCTATAATTTCCATGTTTGTAGACATCAGAAGCTATAGTGGCACAGTGGATAGAGTGCTGGGCCTGGAGTTAGGAAGACCTGAGTTCAACACAGCCTCAGATACTTACTAGCTGTGTGACTCTGGACAAGTCTCTTAACCCTGTTTGCCTCAGTTTCCAGAGAAGGAAATGGCAAACCATTTCAGTATCTTTGCCAAGAAAAGCCCAAATGAGGTCATACAGAGTCTGACATGACTGAACAACAACAATAAAATACTTATCTGAAGAAGCTAGATGGTATAGTAGATAGAGTGATGGGACTGGAGTCATGGAGACTAGCATTCTCAAATCTGGCCTCAGACACTTCCAGCCATGTGACCCTGGGCAAGTCACTTTACCTCCGCTCATCTGTTTCCTCAACTATAAAATGTAGATAACAGCACCTACCTCCCAGAGTTGTTCTGAGGATAAAATGAGGTAATACTTATAAAACACTTTGCATAGTGCTTGGTTCAGAAGTGAGCACTGAAATCCATCCTTCCCTTCTCTTCCCTTTTTCTATTCCTTTGCTTTCCTTTCCTTCCCTTTTTCCTTCCATTCTTCCTCCCTCCTTCTTCCCTCCCTTAATGTGATACATAGTAAGTCTCTTATCTCTTGCCTTTCAGATATTTGAAGGCAGGCATCATGCGCTTTTATGTCTCTTCTCCTGTCTATACACTCCCAATTCCTTTAGCTACACATTATATGATATGGATTCCGGGTTTCCTCATCACCCAATTACTACATCCTAGTTTGTCCATATTCCTCTTCAAAATGTAGTTCCCGGTACAGAACACATTTATATAGACATGGGCTGATCAGTGCCTGGTAGTGTACCTTGTTACATCATATGTTTACTATGGACCCAAAAAGGGAAGAAGGGATCAATATTTACACAATGTCTAGAGCCAGGTATGTCATATTTGTAGTTGTCACTGAATTTTTGGTCAATTAAAATCCCTACATCTCTTTCATTTGAATTGTTCTCAAACCAATTCTCCACTGACCTTTTCTTTTCTCCTCCCAGACTGCACCTATGATTTCATTGGTAGAGGGAACCCTCAGTGAGGAAACTCCTACCAATGGCACCTTCTCTGCAGATTAATCTTAGAGTTTCTTGGGGGCACTGAGGGGTTAAGTGACTTGCTCAGAGTGTCAGAGGTGGGGCTTGAACCCAGGTTGTCTTTGAGTCTGAGGGTATCTCATTTAAGTAACTGGTACATTTACTGGTTGATTTCTTTATATATGTAGCCATAGCTATGGCAAGGTGATCTTAACTTTGTCCCAAGGTAGTACCAACATCACTTGGAATCTAATTCTTCCCATTGGTGTTCACACCTCTGTCCTAAGGCTCACTACACATACTTGTTTCCCCAACAGCGGCTAGTTTTGCAGCAGCCTAGAAAACTCTGGTTGTACTGCTTACCCCTAGCCCACATACTCCCAGATAATCTCTTTCCCTTTCCAACCCCTTTATTCCATTACTCAACTTGTCCTGGGAGGGAGTGGAAGGGAACAAGCATTTATTGAGTGCCTACTAGTTCCAGGTAATGTGTTAAGTGCTTCACAAATATCATCTCATGTGATCATCACAACGACCCTGAGAAGTAGGTACTGTCATGACTCCCATTTTACAGCTGAAGAGTCTGAAGCAGAGAAAGAGTAAGTGACTAGCCCAGAGTCACACAGCTTACTAAATATCTGAGGCCAAATTTGAACTGAAGTCTTCCTGACTCTAGGTGTGCCTCCTAAGCACAACAATTCCTAGTTATGTTGTGGCTTCATGGTTCATTGTGGGGGTCATCTCAAAGAATGCAGACTCAGACCACCTCTAATCCAACTGAAGGCATTTAGTGAAGACTGATGCCCCTCAGAAGCAGGCTAGGTTCCCAGAGGAACTAGCAACTCAGTAAGATAAGACAGGAAATTTTATACTGTAATGATGCTGATTACACAACAGAAATTATGAATATTATGAGAATATGTGTGAAGAAGGGAGAGATAACATACCAAGGGGAACATGTGATGGGCGTTTCGGGAAGTCTGTGTGACCTGTGCTGACTTCTACCAATGAAAGTCAGCTAGGAGGGACTTGTGGCAGGGAACAGAGATACAAGATTGGATCTCTCTTCTGTGGGGTGTGTGTGTGTGGGGGGGGGTGTGCGCGCGCGTGCGCTCACCTGGAGTTCCACATTCGCTTCCTGCAGGAAGTGTATTCAAGATTTCAACTGCTTCACTCATCCTGAGTCTGTCTAACTTACTGCGCCTATTTGGGCACCACAGGTTATTTCTAACAATCTTAAAAAGGCAGGAGGGTTTGTTAAAGAATTAGGGAATGGGGAGGGATCCTTCTATGATTCGGTGGCCAAACATCCTGGATCACGGTACTTTCTTATTGACTAGCTCTTGTGGTCCTGTCTCGGGCTAAATAAGTGGATGGTGTGATTGTGGTTGAGTACAAGCACACATCTGTTCAAATATGTGACTTGTATCTGGGTGCAGTTGCTGTACTGAGTCTGGGGGCCTGAGGTGTGGTTAAAGCCAGATGGTGTGGTTAAATCAGGGCATGCCTGCTGTTCAGTGGGGCCCATAAGGAAGTTAGAATGTTGGGGCTGGGGGCAGCTTTATTAGGATTCCAGCAATACCTCTGAATACAAAGAGATTAAGAGAGAGTGGGCAGGTAGGTAAGAATCTGGAAAGAATGATCTGGAGATGATGAAAGAGTGTGTTTTACACCTGCCCTTGGTGTACCTCCTCCTGCTTCATGGTGCCAATAAAGTGTTTTAGCACAGACTGAAAAGATTACAAAAAGTCAAGGTTTGGCCACAGCCTCCCCTTTGGGGAGGGACAGGACTACATTTTCATACAAACTACTGTTGTTATCATTGTTAGTTTCATCTAGTTTTCATTTTCCTGCTTTTGATATTTTCATTATCTTCTCTGACTTCTATTTTAAATGCTTGTTTTCAAAGCATTTACAGTGATTATTCAACATCTCCAATAGTTGCTGCTTTTTATTTTATAAACATTAAGATTTTTCTTCTCCTTTAAACAAAGCTGAAGAGAGAAAACACTTCAAAAAAGTATTTAATATAAAAACCCAATTTTCTACAATTGCTTGGCTGTCCTCTTAAGACAAACTTGGGGTGTATTTGTATTCCAAGCTGAAGACCAGGCACATGGGTTCCATTTGATGGAAATCAGTGTGGGGGCAGAAGAGGGAGGGACCAGAACATACTTTTGCATGAGAAAAATGTCAGCTCCAGCAGGGAGTACATAAGCCAACTTAGCGAGTAACCATATAAGAAGCAGACAGGATAATGATACAGTCTTGATGGCCCCAAGAAAAACCTTAAGTGACTAGTGGGATGTTCCATTTCAGTAACTACCCAGCCTCCCACACAAACAGGAAATAAGGATAATCACTGGTAACCCAACTTTAAAGAGTATTTGAGAGACAATCTAACTAGGCTCTTGAGAAATCCATGAAAATGGGACTTTAAGAGGTGGGAATTAATCTGGGTGACAAGATCACAAGTAGTATAAAGGGAACACTCTCCTTTATTTTTTTTTAATTGGCATGATTATTTTAATTTTATAAAAAAGTTTTCCCCCCACAAATTATCACAAGTATAAAAATAAATGGGAAGAGCTGATAATTAACTTTACAAAAGTCTTACATTATTTAACAAAGGATTAGTCATTTGATTCCTTTAAATATCAAATGCAGCTAGGTGGCACAGTGGATAGAGTGTTGGAGTCAGTAAGGCCTCAGCTCAAATTCTCCCCTCAGATACGTGTTAGCTATGTGGCCCTAGGCAAGTCACTTGACCTCTGCTTGTCTGAGTTTTCTCATCTACAAAATGAGGATAATAATAGTTCCTACCTCCCAGGATTGTTGTGAGGATCAAAGAAAAAAAACATGTAAAAGTACTATGCAAACATTAAACTGTTCTATAAATGCCAGTTATTATTTTTAACATTAAAATTTTATTTCTAGGCACATGTAGAAATATTTGCTACATACAATGAGGTGTATCTGTGGCACACAGAATTTCAGAATTCTAGAGAGCAGTAATGTTATCTCCTTCCACTTGTATGATACTGTACAGTTTACAAAGCACTTCTATGTACATTATCTCCTATGATACACACACACACACACACACACACACACACCTGCCAGAATTAAAGTAGGACAGACTTGCTCAAGGGTAAAATGCTAATAATAAGGTAGGACTTGGCCTCCAGTTTTCCAAGTTCAGTTCTTGTTCCACTGAACTCCACTATCTATGAGAGTTTAAGAAGAAGGGGTAATAGAGGCAATGGGGTTAAAGGGAAAGGGGCTGGGATGGAAAATGACAATATGGTCAAAAGCATACCTTGGTTTGTGGTTTTGTCCTTCATTCTCAGGGAGATGATGACATGGCTTGCAATTGAATAGGATTTGAGTGAGGGAGGGCTCTGTAAAGTCACCAGCCTCATTTTCTCCTCCAGAGCCAATTGGATGCAGTGGCCAGATATCAATCAGGATGATTGGAGATGGCCAACAATGCAGTGGGAGACTCCGGCCTTTTTAAGCTAAGATGTTTTCAGGTTCTCACTTTCAGTGAGATAACACTTTGGTTTAGGCAATCTCTTAAGGGAATATGCTCATGAACTACAGAAATTCAGATAGAATATGAAATCTTTGCAGACTAGAAATACTTGCAGCAATTACTTATTCTGTCATTCCAATGAAAGGTCTGTCCTCAACTGATAATTTCTAACTGAATTACATCTCACATATGTCTTCTCTTTTTCATCCATTCACACTCAACCCTTATGCCAGGACCTCATCATTTCTCTTGTAGACTCCTGCAATAGCCTTCTATTGGTCTCCCTGCCTCAAGTCTCTGCCTACTACAATCCTCCCTCCATTCAAATGCCAAAGTAATTTTTTTTTCTCCTAAAAGAGATGTGATGGACTCAATATGCAGAATGAGACATATACTTTTGGACATGGCCAATGTGAGAATTTGTTTTGTTTGACCACATGCTGTTATGCATACTCATTTCTCTTCTGTATTTTTAAGGAGTTGAAGTGAGAGATGGAGAAAGAAATTTGTTAATTGTTAATATTTGTTAATTAGGGGGAAAATACAGTATAGGTCTATGTTATATCTCCTGCTGAAGAAATTCCATTAGCCCCTTATTACCTCTAGCAAATAAAGGCTCCTCTGGTTTATAAGGCTTTTCATAATCTGGTCCCTTCCTACTTTTCCAGTCTTTTTAAACCTTATACCTTTTCATGCACTCTAAGATCCAGCTATACTCCATCACTTCTATGCATGGCTTTGCACTGGTTATCCCTAATGCCTTTATATCACCACCTCTTTCTCTTTGTTTTCTCTGATTTCTTTTAAAACTCAGCTCAAATCCCTCCTTTTTCAGGAGACCTTTCCTAGTCATTCTAGCTGCTCTTGCCTTTCCCTTTCATATTAACCTCATACGTTTGGCATATTTCTTGTATTTATCAGGATATCTATAAGTTGTCTCCCCAATTAGAATGCAAACTTCTTAAGGGCAGGGAATATTTTTGTCTTTCTTTGTGTTCCCAACACTTGACATACTGCCTAGAATATAACAAACACTTAATAAATGCTTTGATGACTAACTGATTTATTAAAGGAAATAAGTTGCCCATGTTTTTTGAGATGGGTTAACTTTATGGCAACTAGACACAGAGACATTAGAATGTCAATGGGGCAGAGGTTAGATGAGGAAAACCTGCAAATTTTTTTAACTATGAAACCATATTTGAAAGCTCAGTGAGGGAACTGAGCTATACAATCATCATGGCTCTTTCATTTATTGCTGTTTGTGACTTCTGTTCAGACAGTGAAGGCTAAGGCAGCCAAAAACATCCATTAGGTGGAGCAGTTAAATGGCTGTGGCAGAATGCTTTGTCCTATCCTGGTTGTGCAAGCATTTCTGTCAGGTAGAGAGACTTATACTTGATAAATCATAGATTAAATCTTAACCCACTAAAATGGTTCTATATTATTTTAATATCAGTTTGACATTTTTTAAGGAATGAGATTTTTAAAAAATAACCCCTATACAGTTACAACAAGGAATTATTGCACTTGGGGCAAATGTAGTACTGTGGAAAGAGCTCTGCTACTGGAATGGTTCACATTCTGCCTGAGATGCTTATTATCTGCATGACCTTTGGTTTCAGTTTCCTCATAAATGAGAAGATTCAATAAGACGGGTCCTTTTAAGCTCAAGATCTATGATCCTATGACCATAAATACCTCAGCTTGGTGGGGTGGGGGATGAAGATGAAGAGCACAGGTTAGTTGTTTAGGAACCTACTTTAGTCTTCTACCAGGTAGGTCCCTGTTGTAATTCATTTAATTCACTACTATAACTAGTAGCTGTTATTCTCTGTTATTTATATGTTGCTGAAAAAATTTGCTGTCAATGTCCTCTTAATTTGGCATCCAGTGGCAAAGCCCAGTCACTGTACCTTTGTTTTTTTTTGTTTTTTTTTTTGCTCTAAGCTGCCATTAAAACTGTGGGGGGCAAATAATGACCAATGACTAAATGAATTCTAATTCAGTATTATGCTGGTGACCAAAAGCTTTTGTAGTAGTTACTTTGTACTCTCAGGTGGTTTGAGGAATGTAATTAGTTTGTCCATAAATCAATATGATCAGTCTCACTGTCCAGATTTTCACGACCATTATCAGAAGGGGAAAAATGTACCTTTGCATGTTTCTTCTTTAAAGAATTTAGCTCTTTCTGTTGTTTCTTTAAGTGTTTCAAGTAAGCCTATTGGAGAGAAGGAAAAAAAAGCCACTGAAATTAGTTTTCCTGTAGCCATAGGGATTGAATCAGACTGAAAGAAAAAAATAACAAAAAAACGAACAACTTTGAGTTATATTAACATGCACACTATAATTTGTCTTACAAAAATATCAAGCCACTTTACCTTCATTTGTTTTAAGTCTTCTATCCTCACTTGAGGAATAAGTTCAATACCTAAAAAAAAATTGGATATTGTATTTTTTAAGATTATGCAAAATTAGCCACAGTGTTGCTTAGGCTATTAAAATTTCAAATACTCTTTATGAAGGCAGATAGCTAAACATTTATCTTATATTTAATATGAACATGGAAATGAGCATCTTCCCATTGGAAAACAACTAACTGGATGCTTAAGAGAAATAGCTATTTTAACATTTGCATGCTATGGTATGTTTGTGCTAGCCTGCTTGCTTAGGGTAAAAAGCAATAACTGCATCACGAATTCCTGGATCACTGCCCCAAATTCACTACCACATAAAGAACAAAAGCAAAAGGTTCCACAGCTCATAAAATTAAATTTGGCATTTTAGCAATGATTTTTCACATACAAGAGAAAAGCCAAGTGAACCAATGTACATGGGGACTGTACTGGGGACCTAGAATTTCCCAAAGAAATACATCAACTCATCACACTGTCTTGGTGATGAGCTAGACCAGATGTTGCCATAGCAACAGCAGCTGGAAGAGACTTCCAAGACAATAGAATTATGTTCTGTTTCCATGTAGATTTTCTTCTGAAGTAAACATTTCTTCTTTAATTTTTTTTCTGGAGTACTGAATGAAATCAATAGGAAAATTAAAGGTCACTGTATACCATATTTAATTTCCATTATCAGAAGGGGGGAAATTGTAACTTTGCACATTTCTTCTATAAAGAATTTAGCTCTTTCTTTTGTTTAAGTGTTTCAAGTAATCTTATTGGCATACCATGTCTGATTTCCAGGAAAGTTGTAATAAGAGGCATGTATGTTTAGGGATGATAAGAATAAATCCACAGGCCCATATTTCTCAGTTTTATTCATTACAAGAGCTGGTTATTATATGTACCTGTAGATGAAGAACTTTATCATTCGTCCATAGTTGGCTCAATGTGCCACAGTTACACCACCAGTATGCTTTGGCAAGACTAGATAGGGAAAAAATACCTGGCTGGCTGAAATGCTTTTTGGCTTTGATATTTTAAGTCATAATGGTTTATCATAAGGAAGTTAGGGGCATTTAGGGTACAATATTAATAGGGCTAATGTTACTGATAGCAAAAGCCATCCATACCTTACTCAAGCTTACTTCTTGGGCCCCAAGACTGCTTTAAGACCACTTTTCAATTGCTACCAGTCAAAAAATTCTCCTTTTTTGCAGTCCATACCATCTGATTTTATAAGCTAAATTTCTGTCTGATAGAATGCTGGGTTGAATGGACCACCCATTTACCTCATTCTGACAGTTCTTCTGGTGTTAATTCTATAAAACCTTGATTAAAAGGAACCCCCCAAACAGATCCTTCAATCATTGGCAGTTAGTTTTTCTATACTAAGCTCTGAGGATAAGCAACAAATGTTTTAAAAAGCAAAGCCTATAAATAACACTTACACACACACACACACACACAGAGGCAGAAGTCTTATTAGCTAGGTGGTGCAGCAGAGTCTTGGGCCTGGAGTCAGGAAGTCCTAGATCCAAATGCAGCCTCACATACTTCCTAACTGGGGGGCCCTAGGCAAGTCACTTAACCTCTGTCTCATTTTCCTCACTTGTAAAATGGGGATTATAACTGCATCTACTCCCAGGGTTGTGGTGAAGATCAAATGAAATATTTGTAAAGCACCTACTATAGTGCCTGGTGTACAAGCGGGTACTTAATAAATACTGGTTCCCTTCCTCCCTCTCCTAATACTTCTATATTCTTCTCTAATACCATTGAAGTATATAATATCATTCTGAATGATGTTCTTAGACACTTCAGGTTCCTCTGTCATAAAACAAAAAATCAGTAATTCTCCCTTTGCTCTACTTACTGAAGTAGACTCATACACATAAGAGATTTTCCAATGCAAAGGTTGAAGAAAGGGTCTTTCTTAGCTAACTGAATTTTCTTGTTTTCTTCATGTCATGCAGAATAACTGAGTATTCTGCTTTTTTAAGGTTTCAGGATAGTTTCTCTTCTTGCCAATGTAGGTGTTGAAAAAAAGTTGTAATCCTTCAAACGACATTTGAGAGTTGTGTGGGAGCTTCTTTTGCCTACTCCCTTGTTCTGGAAACTTACAAAACTCCAATGAGTTTGTAAACCTAATGCTACTCTACCATGTATGTATATTATCAAAGCAGTATTTTCCAATTCCTACTTTTAGAAAAAAAAAAGTGACACTGCTCCAGATAACAAGTGCTCTTGTATTAACTGGTATATGAGTCTCCCCCCACAACCCTCCACTTCTCTCAAAGACTTTTCCAATGGAGACACCTTTTCTTCCCATTCACCCAGAGAAGACCCAGGGGGCATACTACTTGGTCTCCAAGGCTACTTTGTGACCAATTCATTAATTGTTATCACTCAACAAATTCTCCTTTTTTTGAAGTCCATGCCATCTGGTTATACAAGCTGTTCCAAAACATGCATTTTAAAGCTACTTAACCTATTAAAAACTTAAAAATACACGAAGACTTTTGGAACACCCTGTATGACTCTCTGCACATTCCTGCTGTCATCACTTACTCATCTCTGGGATATGTTCCCACCTCTCTTTGTCTTTTTCAGCATCTGGCTCAGAGGGTTCCTCTCTCCCTACCCTCTCTCATTCCAACATTCATGTGGATGATCCATCTGACTCACTGGCCTCACAGTTCCTTCAAATTCACAGCTGCAATGACTTTCAATGCCATTCCCTTTCAGCCACTTTGGGTCATTAACCAAATGATGAGTTGGGACTATTTTATCTCAAGAAACTGAACCTGGAACTTCTCTTCTTTTCTCTCAAACCAACTGAAGCTACTCTTCTTCTTCACCATCTTCCTTGGCCCTCTTCTTTTTCTACATATTTTTTCCTTACTTATCTCACTAACTTCGACAAGTTCAGTTAATCCTCTACATATCTGAGCCATATATATATACACACACACACATATATATGTATGTATGTATATATGTGTGTGTGTGTGTATGTGTGTATATGTGTATGGATGTATGTGTATCTATCTATCTATCTATCTATCTATCTATCTATCTATCTATCTATCTATCTATCTATCTATCTACATGTCTTTAGTCCTGACTTCTCTCCCTAAACTCTAGCATCAAAGTTCTAACTATAAGCTAGACATTTCAAATTTCCTTCTGGTCATTCCACCTGCATGTCTGGTCAGTTCCTCAAACTCAACAATATCTAAAACAGAACACATAATCTTCCTGCCAAAAACATCTTCATCTTATGTTTGCATTTTTTGGTCACTAATCCTATTCATCTAGGCTAAAACTTTGTGCCATCTTTTATATTTCATTCATGTTCCATATCCAATCATTCACCAAGACTTGTGGATTCTTTCTCCTGAATGTCTCTCATATTCACTCCTTTCCATTGGTCTTACATCCATTCTACTTGGGGTCCTTATTACCTCTTCACTGTAGTCTAGTGCAAATGTTGCCTAACTGGAGGAACTTTCCAAAAAGTTCCAATTCCCTAACCTGACATTTAATTCCTCCCCACCTGACTTCAAACCAGGCAATGAAGCTAATTTTTTTTAGCCTCTTTGAATACTTTATTGTCACATCTTGCAAAATCTCTTTTTTCATTTGGCCTAGACTACAAAGGTTGCTCATGAGTAGAACTTTATAACACATGCCTCTTTTATAAGTTTGCAAGAATGTTGGATTTATAATCAATGGTTCAAATTCCAGCTTGACTACTTAGTAGCAATGTGACCCTGGGCAAGTCACTAACACTCAATCAACTTCAATTTCATCATCTGTTGGACTGGATGACCTCTGAGATCCCTTCCACCTCTAAATCTGTGATCCTATGGTTCTGCTACCTATGAAGGATAAATACTGATTAAAGAACCTGGCTGAGAACTAGAAACTCACCTATAAAGGTTACTCTTGGTTTTAGAACAAGGTTTTTCAAGAGAGAACCAGACGCTGTGCCTAGAAATCCTCAGGTAATGGAAGAGGAGAGAGGGTAAATCAGTGAGCCATGCCCACTCTTAGGATTACACTAGTGTCTGGGTAGCCATAGTACAATACACTGGGCAATGGTCTAATTCTCTAAGAGACAAGTGAGTCTTAAGCAATTTGAAGAGTTGTGAGCATCATCAGCATGGAAAGAATGAATACAACATAACCATGTTGGATTAGACATTGTAAACAAAAGCAAATTTGGAACAAATGCATGTGTATGTTTTATGTACTTATGAGATCCTATAAAATGACAAAATAAGTGTCCCTAAGAGACTACAGAAGTACTCTTCAAAAATGGATGTCAAGAGTGGCCAGAATGATTTCGCCTTACCTTTCTTCCCTTCCACCCCTGCTCCCAGAGCAGAAGTAGTGGTTGGTCTGAGTTCAGAGCTGCTCTGAGGAGTCACATTGGCTTTAGCATTATTGGCTTTTCCTTTTTTGTCATTCTTTGAAGTGTCATTTGGCACATCAGCTATGTCACTCTGAAATATATGCATTTATATTTGACTCACAATAATGACACCTCAAACTTAAACATATTAATATGATGCTATTCCGTCTTATTCAATAAACATTTATTAAACACCTACTATTTTCAAATCATTGTTCTATGTGCTGGTATACAAAAACAAAGCCTCTGTCCCCCTTTAAAAAAACCCAACAGTCCCTCCCTCAAGGAGATTACATTCTACTATAGGTTGAAAGTGAGAAGAGGAAGCATGATGGGTACAACAAAGCAGAAAAAGGATCATGACTCAGGGCTTTGGTTTTCGAACTTTTTGGTCGTCAGTACCCCTCTATCCTCTTAAAAATTACTGAAGACCTTCCAAAGAGCTTTTGTTTATATAACTTATCTAATAATAGTTACTGTATTTTAAAATAAAGTGTCTTAGTATTATTATTAAAATAAATTGGAACTTTAAGAATCTACTGAAAGGGGCTTATGTCTCATACCTAAGGTCAAACCTCATACCTGAAGATAACTGCCAGGGGTTTCCAGATCACACTTTGATAACTGCTGATTTAGAGCTTAGGATCTTAGAGGCCAACTAATCCAAATTTGTTATTTTTAAGATGAAACATAGAGAAATAAAAAGAACTTGTGCAAGGTCAGACAGGTATGAGATTTGAACCTAGGTTCTATGATTCCAAATCTGATGCCCTATCCATTGTACAGGGGAGAAGAAGTACTTTACATGGATTTAAGAATACCAAGTTTGAATCCCATCTCTCTTACTTATTGGCTGTGTAACTATGGACAGATCTTTTAACCTTCTCATGCTTTAATTTCTCCATCTTCAAAAATGGGGATAACCCCTATAGTATTTGACTCTTGGGGTTTTTATGAAGTTCAAATGCAATAACTGATGAGGAATTCTTTGTAAACTTTAAAGTGGTGCTATATTTACTGTCAGCTATTATTACGGTGGAGAATTTGTCTGCCTTATGACCTCCCCCCCTTCTCTCTTTTGCACTTCCCTAGAGTTCTGTTCTCTATCCAGCTCCAAGCCCTTCCCTCCTATAGAAGGGAAAAATTAGTCAGCAAGAAGCATCAGCGTTGCTGCAAAAGAGCCAGCAGCAAAGAGAGGAAAATGTAGCCACCTCAATGGCACTGAATGAGTAATCAGAAGCACTAAGTGCGATAGTCACTGTTGCCAGCAAGCTGTAATGTGCTGACAGAAGAAAATGGTTTGCTCTGTTTGACTTGAAAGAAATATTCACCTATGGGAAGGACAGAAAAGAATGTGAGAAGGGTGAAGAAATAAAAAAATGTAGCTTTAATTGTCATTCAATAGAATGAACTGATTGTACATTTTATGAAGAGTATGAAAATTTGCCTCTAATATTTTCTTAAACTATGGTAGTGGTTTCTCATTTCATAATGGAGCATTTTAGATTAGAAAACAATCAAATGATTGCTCTCATTTAAAAAAAAAGATCAACAAATATATATGTGAGAACCTGTTATTATAGGTACAAATGGCATAGATCTTGATAATGAGTGACTTCAGATGTGAGTTAAGCTACCAGTTTTCCAGATTTGCATGATTCTGTTTAATAAAGGCTAACACCTTCCCTATTCTGACTCTCATAAGACTGTAAACTCCTTGAGGTTCAGCGCTATTTTTCATATCCCCACCGTGTAGTATAGTGCCTTGCACAAAGGCACTTGAATGTTTGTTAAATTGAGATTTTTTTTTTTGGCAGGAAAGCATGGGTGCTCAACATATGCTTGATTGCTAATTCATGTAAAAGACAACAACAATAACAACAACACAACAAAACATACTTCTTTTCCTAAGGTGGTTTATATAACACTAGACGTCCCAAATTAAGCCCAGATACATAAATCACCGTGAGGGTTTGGATTCAGCACGTGAACTTAACATATCTTGTGCGATGTCAGTATTCTCTAACGAGGTCATAAACTCCCTTGTGTTAATAATTAATACTTACAGTTTCAATTCCCATTGCTCTCATTTGATCTGCTCTCTTTTCCATTACAGAAAGAAATTTCTTTGGGTCTGACAAAGCATCCACAATATCTGAAAGAAATTCACTCGTGTTAATCTTAAATTTTTTTTTCAATTAAATTTTTTTTGTTTCGTTTTTGTGAGGCCACTGGGGTTAAGTGACTTCTAGCTGCCCCTTAAAATTCTTCATGATCATGCAGTTCAGCTTGAAGAAAGACTCATCAGGAATCTGTTTATTTGTTTCACGTGATTGTTCCTCTTAGAAAACTTATCAAGGCTCTAAGAACTTAGAATATGCACCAAGAAACAAGAAAAGTGGAACAAGTATCTCCCTAATGATTCTCTACACCTTTGCCCAGTATTTTTTCCTGAGACATTTAATTTAATTTTGTGAAGCCTAGTTTCATGATACAGTCACAATGAACATTTCTTTCATTATTTTCTTTCTTATAATCTGCATTTAAAGGGACTAATAACAGCCTTGCATAGCATCTTTGAAATATTAACACATTTTTAAATACACAATTCTCAACAGCTAACAAAAAGCAGTGTATGAATTAAATTATTTTTAGGAATTTGTGAATTTTCCCTCCCAACCTTCAGGAATTAACCTCCCTATTTTATGTTTTTTTAAAATAATTATTATTTTCATTTCAAGAGGAAACATTTATCAATAACAGGAAACATAACAAAGATAGTACTAAAAGATGCCAAGGAAAATCCACAGAATTTTAAATGAGTTGACTAGTTTCTGATGTGCTCCTGACATAGGATCATACAGAATAAAGAATCACAGAATTTCAGATCTGAACATGAATATCCAACATGCCTGACAAGTGGTCATCTAACCTTTGCTTGTATACTTCCATTGAGGAGGAACTCATGACATCATGAGGCAGCCTATTCCACTTGATAATTTTTTTCCTTTTATTTTGGTGAGACAGTTGTGGTTAAGTGACTTGCCCAGAGTCACACAGCATGTAAATGTTATGCATCTGAGGCTGGATTTGAACTCAGGCCCTCCTGACTCCAGGGCTGGTTCTCTATCCACTGTGACACCTAACTGCCCCTAAAATTTTAATTATTAGAAAGTTTTCCCTTGCATTGACCCTAAATCTGCCTCTCTATCATTTCTACCCTGTACTTCTGGGGCCAAGTTGTTGTTTGCCCTTCATTTTTGAAGACGACTAATTACATCACACAGTGATGGCTTGACTCGCCCGTGAATTGTATTTAAGTGAGGTACAGTCACACAAAGTTGTCAGCTTCATTCTCTCTTTTGGAGTGAATCAAAGTTCAGTGGCAAGACAAAAGTCAAGATCAATGGCGATGGCCCAAAATGCAGCGGATGACCTTGGTGTCTAATATCTGATCAAGCAGAAGGAGGTGCTGGAGAGCTTAAAGCCCTTCTGTCAGGAAAAGTCTTCATGTGCCTCTCTGGCCAGGCAGAACAAGCATAACCAACCCTTATCAACATTCCTGGATGTAGGCCCTACCTCCACTCTACATTTGAGGAATTTGAGGCACAGATGATTCTGCTGTTGGGGTTAAACTCCCGCTCTAGGTTGTCCATGGTAACAATGAATTGAGTTCAAATTGCTTATAGGAAAGATATTTGCATAGTGCCTCTTAGACTCTTTCAGGCCTCTCTAACGCGTACTTGGGCCCAAGTCTAAAAGTTTTCCATTTGAAGTCAAGCTTTCTATGAACCTACATGATTCAGACTGGGATCTCCTGCTAACAGTTTTGAATGATTAATCTGTGGTGATTTTTTAATATAATTTTCTCATCTTCAATAATCTATATCCTAGTCCCAGAGCATACCTTTATTTTAAGTACTAGATGAATTAAAAAAAATCTTCATTCTGGGCTTATTATGTCCAAATCCTATACTAAGTACTAGATACACAAATACAAATGTGGAAACAGTTCTCAGTCTTTTGGAGTTTACATTATCATGAAGGAAATAACATATTAGGGAAGTGGAGGCCAAAGAGGGATATTTTGATTTGTAAAGTTACAAGGACAGTGAGTGGAGTCACTTGAATAACCAAGCACGGGTCTTCAATTTTTTCAGGATCAGTATGGTTCTATCCATGGTAATCTTTATTAGCAGATAAACTTAAGTTATATTAGAATCTCCACAATCACAGTGCCCTCAGTCCACTTTTACAACAAATGTAATTTTGGTCTCCTCCAGCTAACTTAGATCCTGTTAATTGTTTAGTTCCCATAGGCTACTTGTACTATAGGCAATAATCCTAATAAAAATAAGAAACCATATAGCTAGGTGGAGCAGTGGCTAGAGTTGGAGTCAGGAAGAATCAAGGAGTGAGGAAAACACTCAGTTGTGTGATGCTGGGTCAATCATTTACTCTTTCTCAACCTCAGTTTCCCCATCTATAAAATGGGGATAACAACAGCCCCTACCTCACAGAGTTACTGGTTGTTAAGGACTGAATGAGGTTAACATTTTAAAGTGCTTTGTGAATCTTAAAATGCCATAAAAATGTTAGGTATTATTATTATTATTATTGATAATAATTATCAATAAGATCAGGAAGAAAACTCACAATTGCATCATTCTTTAAAGTTTGTAAAGTACTTTTCTCACAACTCTGAGACTTGGCAGTGAAAGGATTATCATCCTTATTCTATAGATGATGAAACTGGGAGGAAGATTATCTTTCATGAGCTACTTTTAGGAATATCACAACTCTTCCAGAGCTTGGGGATTCTGGAGGGATAGTATCTGAATAGTAAAGATTTTATTATATGCTTTTATTTTCTTCCTGCTTTGGGAAATATGAAATTTTAAAAAAACAACAGACCATCAAAGATTGATTATTTATGAAGAGAATAAAAAACCCAGTCTATTTATATAAGTCTTTTAGAGAGTTTGATAATCCAGAGTCAGAAAAAAGTATAGTATCATTGAGAAGCAAGTCAGGAGTGTGTCAACTAGCTCCACAACTGGTTGGCTTTGTTGCTAAGTTCTTCCTGTGTTTGTTCCCTCTATATTTCATAATGATGATAATAATAATAATAATAGCCAGCATTAATAAAGCACTTTAAACTTTGTAGAGTTCTTTACAAATATTAACTCATTTTATTCTCACAGATAACAGGAGGTGATAATAATAATTAATAAGAAGAACAATAACTAATATTTATATAGTACTTACCATGTGCCAGGCACTATGCTAACTACTTTACAATTATCTCCATATATACTCATAACAACCCTAGGAGGTAGGTTCTATTATTATCCCCATTATACAGATGAAGAAATGGAGGCAGATGGAGGTTAAGTGACTTTCCTAGGGTGATTGATTAATAAGTGCCTGATGCCACATTTAAATACTGGTCTTCCTGAAGCCAGGTGCTGTGATCTATTCACTATGCCACCTAGCTAACCTTCTTACTACTATCTTGAAAGTTAGTGATGTGTGAGTTAGAAGGAAAAACAGCAGAAAAATAGATTTTTTTCTTTTCAAGTGCTTTGCTGTGCTGATAGAAATCATCAGCTCATAGGAAAGTTATGTTTTTATTAGACATTTTGCTTATGTACTTGAAATAGAGAATCATTACTCTCCTGCTTAAGAGGGCACAGCTTTTACCATTGAACACTGAAGGAGAAACAACAGCTTTCAATCACAGGCAGAAGGATTTCTGTTAGATTTGAAGTAGAGCTTCTTGATGGATATGACAATGGAATGGGTGAGCAGGGAATATGATACAGCTTCTTCTCTTTTAACTATTTAAGAAACAAGTTGACCAGTATGGTTTTGGAAAGGTTTGAATTCAGTAGAGTTCAAGGGAGTAGGAATGGGCTGGGAATCTTCCAGAGCTCCCTTACAGAACCCATGAACACACTAACTATTAGGAAAGTGGGAAAGGAAATAAGCTGTCAATTTAAGGCTTACAGAAAGGAAGATAACAACTCTTTAAGGAAGGGGGGATAAGTAATGCTCAGGAAACAAACAGGTGAGAATTCAAGGACAAAGACTGGAAAATAACCTTTAAATGTCATGCTGAAGCTCTGGGTGCTATTGAAAACTTTCAATAGCTCTCACTTCAGTTCAGATTTTTTTTTTAAAGACTCCAAGTAGGCATCCAGGAAAGAATAAAAAAAGGCACATATCAAAAGCAACAGTGGGTGGGAAGAGAAGAAACACTGAGGCCTCATTTAATGCTCATTAGCACTGGAACTGTTTCCAGGCTTTGGCAGCAGAGTAACTGTACCTTTTCTCTAAGCCAGCAATAATTCACTGTAATGCAAAGCTCCAATGGGTAAATCATATCTTCACTGCCTTTTTGTCCCCCTGTGATAAAGCAGTTAAAATAGCACCAGTAATCCAACAGGCCAATTGGCACCAGACTCCGCAGTGCTTATATTTCTTACCAATTGATTTTCTTTAAAAAAATTTTTTTTAAAAAGGCTTTATATTTTTGATTGATAGGCAGTACAATTTTATTAAGGAAAGGAAAATAAAATATTTCTTAATTTGTTCACAGAAATTTTGTTTGGGTCACTTTCCCCCTAAATTTTACCTGTTACTTCCTCATCAAACATTTAGTTTTTTCAAAAGACAAAATTCTGGCAGAGACTACTGAAGAAGACAGACCATTTCCAAGGATCCCATTGGCAGACTATACTCCTAGAGCAATGGACCTAAGTGACAGTTACATAGAAAGCCACAATTACTATGGAGATGAAGGCTATGAAAAGGCATTCCCTCATCTTCTGTGATCACATGAAGGATATGTATATGTATGTAGGTTTATATACATACATACATACATATATATACATGTGTTCTTATATGTGTGTTCTTTGAAATTTTTGTAAATGTTTTACTTAAGGCAGGTGAGGGGATGCTAAGGTAGAAGAATCTGGCTTGTGTAGGGTGGGGACAATGGATTCAAAGAATGTAGGTTAATTAATAATTAATTTGTAATTACACTGGTATGAACATAATTTTATATAAGGAACAACCCAATATCAGCTCCTTTTCAGTCTCCTTACTGGTTCTTCATCCATGCCACATCCTGTACATGTGGGTGTCTTC